TTACACTGCTTCAGAATAACTCAGGCCTTTCTTTTCCCTGCTAGGCAATCCTTGACTTATTTGGAACCTATGAGGTTTTTTATGTACTACCTCTCAGAGCGGAACCAAGAAGTTGTGTCTCCTATTTCCACTAAGATCTGTGTAACTCTATCCAGCTTCTTCCCCACAAGGTCGTTCATTTGCTTGGGTGGTCCCAGCTTTCCACAAGCTTCCTGGAACTGCTGTTTGCTTCTCTAACATGTCAATCATGCCATCGTCCCTCTGCCTCTTCTCTGCTTCAGCATCTTCTCCATTTGTATCCTTAAGTACCAGTGTAAGCAAGCCTTTGGGATCCCGCAGGTCCTTCTTTTCAGACTCTTTTTATGCGCTCTCTTCCGAGTGTTGCAGAGTAGTTGCAGCACACTGTCATCTTTCTCAGTTGTTGTTTCTGGGTTCCTCCTGTGGGAAATGCTCCCAAAGAGGAAGGAAAATTCTGCTTGGTGGAAAAAAAAATAATCAGATACAGTTCAAGCTTCAGCCTTGAAAATTTGACCCTTTGTTTTAAGCCATTTGTTTTTAGACACTCAGTTGTATCTTACCTTTAATAACGGGCTTACCGCTCTGCTTGTGATCTGAATGTCAAAGCAGGACACTAGCAGTAAAAGGGAAAATGTGATAAAAAGATGTACTGCTTCTAAGCACAGAGACAGAGCTAACTACTAGCTTGCCAAACTGATAAAGTGGCAATGAAGGCCTGAATGGCAGATCATGGTGTCACCCTGTTAAAGTGTAAGATATACAGACAACAGTAAAATATTGTATGTTACCATCAGAAAGGATGCTTTAACTGATACCTTAATAATTGCATGGAAGAGTTAATCCTGTTTTGTCAGAAGCAGTTTTATGCCATTTCTGGAAGAACAGCAATGGAGGCAATTTCCTGTGCTAAAATAGTAACTGTTTAATTTAGTGTGATTGTTTAATTCAAAAACAGAAACAACAAAAGCTGATTGTTACCTTAAATTTGATAATAATTAATTGTGGGACAGCAAATCGTTATTAAGCTCAACTGCAATTTCAGAGTTTCTCTCAACCCTGTCTCCTTGCTTTGTCCTTCTCAGTCAATCCCCTTATTTTATAAAAAGCCCAACTGCATCCTAAATCTATTTTAAACTCTTGCTTTTTATTGCCTTGGCAGTTTACAATATAGCTCTTTTGTTCACTTCGTCCCCCAAATTAAATTTCCTATGGACCAGATCCTCAGCCAGCCTAAGCTGGCGTACCTCTATCAACAACAACCACTCTGCTGATCCAGATGATCGAGCCCCCTCCTATTAATCATTGGTCCTTTCCCCCATCCCCCAGGCAGATTGCTTGCACGGGGTTGGCAGGGTTCCCGTATCATCTGTTCATTCACTAATAACACTATTCAGCATTTATTGGGCCGGTCTGGCTCTCTGCACATTCAGCAGCAAAGCTGCTATTGATTGCATGATGGGGAAGCAGAATCAAGCCGTATAAAGTCGCATTACTTTGTATTCTGAGAGCTCTGTGCAAACTACAATGCAGTTAATTCACTAATGGTTTATATTCATCTTGCTTGTGTCATAGTGAAGAGAAAATGTTTCAACACTCCCGGGAGGGGGGGTGGTTCGCATGATCGTTGTTCGGAGGATTTGAGAGTCACGTCACAAAAGGCAAGTTGTGGGCTATGCTCCAGCAATGACACACCTTAGTAGCTGTAAGGCACATTGCCAAAGACCTCCCTGTTAAGGGAGGTAAGATTATACAGTCTGTGTTGCCTGATTACATATATCAGATAAAGTTGCCAGATAAAAACAGCATGAAGGACAAAATATTTTCAGCAGAAAGAGTGAATATGATCTCACTTAACACCAGGTTACACCACCTACACTTTTTCTTTCCGTGAAGAAGAAAGCCGCGCCAGGTCCATTACATTTTTAATTAAATGCTGCTACTCTAAAAGGGTAACCAAATTATTAAGATAAACCATCTATGCTGTAAAGAACAGAATTGAATGATTGAAATACTTGGCTCCAAATCAACTTTAAGACTTAAAATTTTGAAGAGTATTACTGGGGACTATAATGCTTTCTAAAGTCTCTCCTGGTATTTTGTCAATGACAGCAGGCATTAAAATAACACAGAGTAGCTTTGAAAAATGAAAGGGTGCTTGGCATTTTGCAGTCTATGTTTTGTTTTGGTTTTTAAATGGCAGTGCTTTTACCTAGCAAGAAAAATATATTCTTCACAGGATTGAAAACATATTGAACATTAAAAAGTCTTCATTCAAATATTTTCAATATGTCACTTTTTGCAATTTTGGAAAGGTTCTGAAAAATTTGCAAAGCTCATCCATGCAATTTTTAGGAGTGTATTACCTTAAATTAATGAATTATCTGTAGTAATTTTAAGGAGATTATTTTAAAAGTGTTTTAAAGAGTTTAATCTTACAGCATTGTGGTTTAAAAAACAGTATATAACACTACAGTGTAACAAAATGTGTAATTACAGATGTAACTGACAGCAAAAGAATGGCATACGTAAATACAGATACAAGCAAACATGCCAATCTCATTATCACTGATATGTAAATACCCACCATGGAGACACAACCTAAGCTTAATTTGTTAATACTGTCTAAAAAGAGAAAAGCGTTAAGAAGTCAAGGAAGTGGTGTGTGGTGCCTTATTTCCTCCCCAGCCAAATTACTTCTCCCTGAAATAAGCATGATAAAAATGTTCATTTTCTTTGACTCACATTTTGGAGCATGACTTCGTTCTGTTTCCACTGTAAGAAGAGTCTTACAGATTTAACATCCGTACGTACCATATAGGCTCTTAATTCTGTGAAGATTTAAGTGCAGGGCTAGCTTAATGCACAGAGTAGCCCTAGTTACTTCAGTATGTGTTTTCTGCATGTGGAACATCAATGAAACAGAGAGGTTGTTTTCACGGTCATTATTTTTGTGTAACCATTGCTTTCTGTTTTGACAAAACTACTTTTTACTATAGCTGCAGTTCCCTGAATACCAATGTTTTTATCCAAATGTATCATCTGTAGCCTTGACGTGGCTTCCTAATACAAGAAAATTGAATTCAAATGCGATACCATTCCAGCTAAAAGTCTTTGGGGAATTTCTGGCATATGGGCCAGGGGTCCTGTGACCTCTGCACTGGCCAGGGACTTTCTCCCAGGCAGCCCATGGCTCCACCAAGCTTCCCCTCAAAAGCCCATTGTCATCCTCTTCTCCCCTGTGATAACCCTACCCTCTTTCAGCACCTCGTCCCACCCTGCAGTGCTCCACGCCATGCTGTCCCAGCTGCTGCCTAAGTCTCATTTCATTCTGTGCTGTGCCCCCTTTGCCCTCTATTGCTCACCTTCCCCAAAAGCTTGCCTGGCTGAAGCGGAAGAGGAGCTCAGTGTGGAGCAGCACTGGGTGACTCAGTAGCTTTGCGCAGGGATGACATGCTGTTTTGGATCTTCAAGTGAGGCCGAAGGACCTGCATGTGCAGAGCACTGCTGGAAGGGAAGCTGAGGCTGGGTGAGGAGAAAGCACTGCACAACAGAGAGGTGGTTAATGAACAGCTTAGAAAAAAATATTTAGAAGTCTCAGACCCTCAGTAAAGAAAAAAATGTTCAGACTCCTCCATGAGTAAATTTTAGCCCCAAACATGTCCAATTGTATGGGTATTTCTTACAGATATTCCACAAAAAGCATCCGTAAGCTCCTGTGGCAGCTTCAATAATCCAAACAGCTGCATGGTTAGGAGCCCAGAAGTATCGGATTCCTGTACTTCACACTGTTCCCTGGCATTTGTCAACTGAAAAGCTTTTAGCTTAGTTTATTTCAGAACAAACGTTTCCCTTTGTACCCCCAAACGCATGTTACTTCTTGGATCTGAAGGGCCAGAAATACTGCAGAGCAGAAGGCTGTAATTACAGCACCAGCAGGAGAGGGGCCAGCCGTGGGCATCCCCCTGAACCCAGCGTCAGTGTGATAGGATTTCCGCCTGCCGGGTGAAGCACCTGATTCCTCGCCTTACAGAATCAAGACTTAAACTCTGAAGGATGCAAGTTTGATGCCCAGCTATGACAAGTGACAGTTTTTGCTACAGCATGTGGAGTCCAAGCTTCCTGAAACTGGTAAAGGAGCATCTCTGGTACTAGCAAACAGAACTGCTGAGGAGCCTCTGGTTTGCTGCGTTTTTCTAAGATGTAGAATGGAAAAAAAATCCTTCCCCTCCCTAGACTTCCTCTACTACCCTTTCTCCTTGAGGTTCTCCAAAAGTA